TCCTTCCTCCCTTGCTTCCTTGCTTCCTTGCTTCCTTGCTTCCTTGCTTCCTTGCTTCCTTGCTTCCTTGCTTCCTTGCTTCCTTGCTTCCTTGCTTCCTTGCTTCCTTCCTTCCTTCCTTCCTTCCTTCCTTCCTTCCTTCCTTCCTTCCTTCCTTCCTTCCTTCCTTCCTTCCTTCCAACACATCTCCGTCGACCACTCAGTCTCGCTCCCCCGCGGCGAGTGCAACTAAACGAGAACCCAAGCATCGGAGATGCTTTTGGGAAAAACATGTTTGAGACTATTTACTGAAGGGAGTGTTTCATACATATACAATATATATAGGGGAGGATGGGATCACTGTCAAATTGCAGGCTGCCAATTGCCCAATCTCGGAGTGTCAGAATGGGTCAGCTACCAGGGCATAGCCTAGTGCCAGTCTGCGATTTTTTTTTCATGTCTTGGATGTCTTGGATGTCTTGGATGTCTTGATCCCAAAAAAATAGGGTCATAGGCGGCCAGAAAAAGATTCGCACGGTCACCTTTTTCTCACGGCTGTTGCCGACTAAGGGGGCCCGTCCACCGAGATTCATGATCAGGCCCTGTGGATTCAACGTTACTGTACATCAAGCAACGTGGTTCTTCGCAGTTTGATCAAACGCTCTTAAAGCTGACATCTATAGAGAGATATCCATAGACCATATTCTTTTCTGGAAAAAAGTGGTAGATAGAGATATAATATGTAGATATGGCAGATCTATTGACCATGGTCCTTTATTGACCAGGAATCCTACCATTCACTTTCCGGCAACATCGGAGAGCGCAGCGGCCCCACATACTTTGGTAGACCATCGCCTCATCAACCATCATCAGCCCAGAAGTCGGATGGGTATCTCTCAAGTTCAGGCACTAGTAGGCACTACACCTGCAAAATTCATGGAGTCTTTGCATGGCAAAATTTTGGGATCAAGAATGATGAGCCATATGAGCCATACCTATATATTCAAAGCTGCAAACTGCCTACGTCAGAAAGTTCACGCAACTTCACCAAAAACATTGAGGCCACTGCGTAAATCCATAACCCGATTGGCATAGTAAAGATGGTGCATCGGCCTTCCAGTCCAGGCCAAAAACCAACATGTGGTACCTATCCTCAATTAAAACCATTGACCAAATTCGTTGCTTACCAAGAATTACACAATCAAAACCTCCTACCCATTTTGAAGATGTCACAAAAATCGACGTTTGTCACTGAAATTCACTGACATATCACCAAAATCCCTGGAGTGGCCCTCAAATTTCACCCATTTTGACCAATGGAGGACCACCTCAACGGAGATTCAGTTCCTCGCCAGCTGCAAAGCAAACCCAATGGTACCGCTGCAACTTTGCCTCCGCCAGCGATTTTGGATGGGGACCATTGAGGACCATAACGGCCATGGGGCAGCAAGATACAGCAAGATACAGCAGGATTGACGGGGATGTTTTTTCTGCGCAATTTTTCCGCGTGTCCATGTTCTTTCGCGTGTTTCTTGTTGCGCTTTGTTTTCTGCTGCGTTGTTCTGTGTTGTAAGACAGAGACCAAAGGGAGAAAAGCGGAGGAGAGGCAGCAAGAAGAGGAAGCAGAGCAAGACAGGGGAGAACACCGTGAACACCCAATGAATCCAATGATTTTCCAAAAATTGGTGGTGGAAAAGTGCCGTTGTCGACACCTCCAGAATAGCTATAGCTGAGATGTCCCGGGGCCTCCCAGGAGAAGTCCACGCACTGGAGCCAAACACGAAGCACATCTTGTCCGTTCAACGCCTGAAGGAACAGCCGAGCTTTGGAGCGTTTGGAGCTTTCGCGAAAATCATCGAACAGCCGTTGAACTATGTTGAACTCATGGATTGTCAGACTGTCTGCGCCATGTTTACCGGAGAATTCGTCAACAGAAACGATGTGATGAATTGTCTCTGCTCCCCATGGTCGTCCCCAAAATTTCCCCAGGCGCATCATTTGTGACGTCAAGCCGATTTGGGAAAACACCCAGAGAGTCGTCCTTTGGATGTTTGCAAAGATGTGAGGTTCGCCCCAGGCTCCATCGATAGCTGCACCTGGCCACAAAAAAAGTGAGGAAATGATGAGGACATGATGAGGAAATGTGAAATCCACCCCGTGTTTTCCATTCTACATATTCTACACACTCCTTGTGTTCCTTCAAGCAGTTTTCGAAGTTCGGAAAATCATCTGTAGACTTTGTATGATCGACGATACAAATATGCCAAAGACTTGGTGAACCCCACAAAGACCAATGGTCAACACACACATGTTTATCATCTTTTTGGAAAATGCAAAGATGGATCAACATGGATTTCGGCCTGTCAAGGTTTTGGTCGCTTCAAATCCACACCTCTAAGTTTCGGGACTTTCTTCTGGATGTGTGAAAGCTGATAAGTCCTTCAGGTACAAAGTTATAAATCCGTATAAACAACAAAATCTAAAATGAAATGACATGAAGTAAGATGAAGACGAAATATTTATAAATAGTTCAACAACAGAAACCAACAGATTTTTTCCATGAATTTGGGTTGCTCGGTTGCTACCACTGGCGCCTCTGCAGCGGTGAAGAGCGCTTGACAGGAGAAGGGTGCCCCGGAGAGGCGACGACAAATGGAGCAGTGGCAGTAGCCTGGAAGGATTAGAAGGTGCCCCGGTGATGTTTGTTGGTTCACCAAAAAAAAACATTTTAAAAAAAAGAAAAAAGAACTAGTTTGATAAGTTTCATATATCTACTATAGTTACTATATGTTACTATAGCTATGTTAGATATAAACCATCGATACAGTAAGTAGATAACCAACTTAGGTAAGTTTTCACAAAAATTGTAGAGTGGAATGTTCGCACTTATGGACTTATTGCCGGCAGTCTTTACTCATTCAAATTGAGGTGGGAAATAAGTGGTGGTTATTTTCATAACCCCTTCAGTTTTCATAGGTTTGCTACCCTCTGGTTATTTAACATAGCCATGGAAAATGGCCTATTTATAAATGATTTTCCCATTAAAACCTCCATTTATAAGGGATTTTCCATGGCTATGTTAAATAACCAGATTGCGAGGAAACCAAATGAAACGTACAAGATCCCACCCTAGGTTCCAATCAAGACTTGACCGACGCTTCCTACATGTCTTGTGACGTCAAGCCACTCACCGCCCGAGCATCGTCATAGCAAAGAACTTTCACTTCTCCGCCTGCTGTTGGAGAAAAGAGAGACCAGAGACATCTCCCACATAGAATTCCATGTTTGCAAAGGTCCTAGTGACCTAGTGTAGTAGAAACACTTTCCGGCCATCAGCATGCCATCGCAGGGATTTTTGGAATTTTTTTTCGTCCAAGGTGCAGTGACAGCGTCCTTCATACCTGGGCTGCGTCGGCGCCGCAGATGGCAACGATGGCAACGATGGCTGCGGCTCCGCCGGCGGCTCCGCCGGCAAGGCGAAGCTGGGAGGCAACCTGGAGGCCGGAAACATCCACACTTTCAAGGTGCCTTTGGGATTTTATAAGTTGGTTTATAACTCCAGGAATTATGATATATCATTACATATATCTCCACTCAGTTACTATTACATATATTACATATAATACATGATATATATATATATCATATATATATATAATCTTTATATATATAACATGATATAATATATAAATATATAAGACGTTTATTAAACACGACTATGATATATGACATATACGGCACTGTGGTTTATAAACCAACTTATAACTGGGAAACCAACAGCCTAAGCAGGGCTAAGCATGGCTAAGCTCCATGCTGTTCCGTCGCCTTCAGAACCCGCCGCGCGTTGTCGATGGCATCGATGGTGGGGCCTGTGCTGTTGCAACCAGGATCTACCAGGATCTACCATTAAAATTGGCAAAGGTCACCAGGATCTAAAGTCCAAATGTGAATATGATATTAATATATATTTATTTATTTATTTATGTATATTGTATGATATACTATATTATATTATATACTATATATATATATATCATTGTCCATGAAAAACAGCCACAGTGAAGTCTGCTCATTCCAGTCATGGCTCAACCAGGTGCCGAGGCACAGTCCACATGAATTTTGGCGCAACGACTTTGGGAGGCCCATTTTTCGTAGAGCTTGTCGTAGTAATCCAACATCATACCGGCCACCTCCACCAAGCGAAGCAGAGAAGCACTGAGAAGCACAGCCAGCGAATTTCGCGTCCAGAAAAAAATCACTGAACGAATGTAGAAATGGCATGAACGATTCACTGATCACATGATTTACCCATGAATATGTATTTATATATATATACGTCTACGATATGTGTTTCCCCCTTCAAAACACATGCCACAGATGTCCCATGTCAGGGCCTCGTTCCAACGACCTTCGTCCAACAGACGCAGGGCATCCTTCACCCGCTGCCCACCCAGTCGCTTCGACAGGAGATTTACACCTCGTGCTCAGATCATCATGGCTTTTGCTGGGCAAACGAGGCTTGATTTGTTGGGGGATCATTTGGAAATTGGGAATATGATAGATATATATATATATATATTTATTTATTTATTTATTTATATAGTTATTTATTTATTTAAAAATTATTTATTTATATATATATATTTATTTATTTATCGAATTATATTTACTTATTTATTTATTTATATATTTATTTAAATATTTATTTATTTATTTATATATTTATTGAATTATATTTATTTATTTATATATTTATTTAAATATTTATCTATTTCTTTTTTGATTTATTTATTTATTTATTTTTATATTTATTTAAATACTTATTTATTTATACATTTATTTATCTATTTATTTATGTATTTATATAAATATTTATTTATTTATATATTATTTATTTATATATTTATTTATTTAATTTATTTATTTATTTATATCCATCTATATTATTAATAATAATAATGATAATTAAAATAATCATGATAATAATGATAATGATGATAATGATAATGATAATGATATTATACATACATACATACATACATCCATCCATCCATACCATACCATACCATACCATACCATACAATACATATACATATACATATACATATACATATACATATACATATACATATACATATACATATACATATATATATATGTATGTATAAATATGTTATTGATGAAAAGCCATTTGAAATGGGGAGGAAATTCCGGTAAATATTCCGTTCATCCAATGTGAGCTGAGGAATTTCCATGGTAGGCCAGCCATGAAACGTCTCAACCTCTGGGGGAGTACCTGAAACCCGTTCAAAGTCTCAATGGCTCCAATCCTTCATTATTGGATGCTTCAAAAGTAGACAAAAAACTATCAACGTGGTGCTGTTTATGCCTGTTTTGGTCGGTTGCTGTGGTGTTTTCCCCTTTTCTCACGTTCGGAAACTTCCTACGCTACATCCACCATCTTCCACCATCTTCCACCAGCAGCTATGGTGCTATTCTTGAGTTGCTCGAGTTGTTCCACCTTCGACAGATTCGGATCGTTGCAGTAGTCATCCACCAATCTGCGGACCCTCAACTCCTTGCTCATGGTCAGCATCACCAGAGCTCCTTGCCGTGGCAGCTTGACCAGCAAAAAAACTGCTGTCCTCCTTTAGAACTTCAAAAAGTCAAGTGAAGTACTACCAGCTTACTTTTTGAAATGTGGTCATGTGGGAACTCTTAGTAGCTCCTAGTTGTTTATTGACGATCGAAAATAGATACCCATAGGTCCGAACCACTCCCTCCATTCACCACTGGATAGGGTAGTTTTTCAGTGTTCCCTTGTGTTTCCTTAGACTCTGAAGACCCATGCGATGGTAAAAATTGGATCTTCCGTCTTGATACAAGGATATGTATACCCATGGATACATGGAGAATACCATAAAATCCATTAAAAACAAGATTCCCAGGATATTTCCCATACCGTCCCATTGATTTTTGGGGGGGAAGCCATGGGATATCCATAAAATCCTTGGGCGCTCCTGTTGCATTGGTGATCCAGGATAGAATCCCCAAGGGAAGCGATGCCTGGGGATAGAAATGATTTGTTGGGATTTCTTTGGCATCGTGAAAATTCTCCTGTCAGAGAGAATTTACTGCATTTCTTGATATGAAATTTTAAGAAACTCCGCAGGATCATCTCTAGGATTTCTCACACTGATTTTCTTTGGAATTCCAGGAAAACCTGTGCATTGCCACGCCTTGCCCACATGTTTGCCCTCATGCTCAATCCACAAAGGCTTCTTAGGAGTGACTCGTCTCACCGCAAAGGCCAAGATGTTCTCAAAGGCCTCACGAGTCGAAAATGTCAAAATCATCATCGTGTTGTTGGCTGCCTATTGTGGTTTAATACATGAAAATTTATCTAGTGGATGAATATGTTTTTGATATGGCATCAGAATAAAATTGGAATGTAATCTTCAACCAATAGATGTTCAAGTAATGTGAAACAAATCACCAAAATGGAACATTAACCAACCCCTGAACAAGCTGGCCACACCATCTGCCGCCTCGTTACTTGGCTGAGGCTCCGAGGTAGCACCTAGGGGCCCCTTGAAATCTGATGATACATCCGGATTGGTCCAGACATCAGATGTACTCCAACTCCAACATCCAATGGTTACGATATGTGATGATATGGGTTTTTCATCAGGACTTTCGCAGAATCCATAAAACCGACATAGCATGACATAGCCATATTTTTTGGGGGTATACCCATTCAACAGCCATCAAACAGCCATCAAACAGCCATCAAAGGGTCACTGAGTTCGGCTCCAAAAGCAGACCCCCGATGCTTGGCCAGTCCCTGCGTGAAATCGGAGGCACGGCTGGATCAGTTTCAACAAAAAAAAAGGTTCTTCTCATGGTGAAGAATCAACCAGAATGAATCAAACATATCAACATTGTACCATAGATATGATTAGATTTATATACGTTACAGAATGGAATGGATCAAATATGAAAACATCAAGCCAAAGAAATGCTTTGACAAAAATCAGCACTGTTGCCATGACAAAAAAAAATCTGCCGGCCTGCCGGCGTGTCTTGTGGATCTTGCTTGTTCGTAGTTGTACTGTCTGTTTTGTCTTTGTCTAGACTTTCCCCTTGGCGCAGATTTTTGCCTCGTCTAACTTGAACAGCTCTTCTTCGTTTTGTCTTGATCTTTCCTTACGTTGTGGTGGGCTCAACTCTGCCCACCTCTCGCTCAACACCGGCTTGGTTTTGCACATCTTGCTGTCATTTCGATGGTTGTTTCCGTTTTTTGTTGTGCTTGCGATCGGTTTGCTCCGTCGCTTCTCATATTCAATGCTTGATCCACTGGCTTTTGTGTCGAACACCGTTTACACGCATAACCTTGCTAAATATGGCCTTTTTGAAAGCCGTTCTCAATATGGCCTTTTCCAAAACCCTGGTTTCCACACATGTTTTGGTTCAAACTTAGACCGTGGTTTGAACAAAACCCATGTTTTTGCGTCCAAACCATCCTTTACACAAAGAGCTGTTTTACACAAAAACTGTGCTATTCTCAAACACCATGTTTTACACAAAAACCATGTTCTTGCCGGGCCTGTGCAAGGGCTGTTTGCAGCCAGGATAGCTCTTGTTAAATACCCTCCGGTAATCAAACGTGGCGCAGGCTACCTCCAAATCCAGAATCTGCTGGTCCACTTTCCGAAGCTCATAGAGGATGGCGGTTTTCCCCACACCCGTGCAGCCACCAAGAACCAAGACCTCAGAATGGCTATGAATGGCCAGCAGTTGGTGCTACTATTGGTTTCATTGTGTATGCTGTATATATAGATACACAGGTTTTTTCCTCACTGATAGCCATACAGTGAGCATGTTGCATCTCCCATTGCACTGTGCAGCACAAATGCACAGATACACCGATACACAGTTAGATGTATACATGTATGTGTATGTACATATATATATACATATATATATACATATATATATATATACATATATATATATACACATATATATATATACATATATATATACATATATATATACACATATATATATATATACATGTATATATATATATATACATGTATATATATATCTTGATTTCTGTACAGAATCCACTTGTATTGAGTACAGTGCACCGCCATCTATGTTTTTGAACCTTTGTCACAGAATGAAGGATTGCAAGTTTAGCCAATTCATCCACATGCAGGAGGAATATATATATATAACTATATGTTGTGTATAAGTGTATATACATATACATATGGTCACCCCCCACACCAGGGCCTACCTTGAGCATTTTTTGGTGGTATTTACAGAAAAAAAATAAGACTCTTATTTTGTTGTCCATTTTTTGTGTTATTTATACAGAGCCACTCAAGTACAGTACCACTTGGCCCTTGCCCCATTTCTTTTGCAATGCCTAAATAAAAATTAACAGATTGCACTTTTAAGCACATATTGTACCCAATTACGCACTAAAAATTACCATAAATCCATAAGGTCATGTTTTTATTCAGAAGTTCTTGGATATAATCTAGTTCCATGCAATTCCCATGCAAGACCATGTTTATTGTGTAAGGGTCACCTTGTGAATGATATCTGTTGTCTGCTGTTCTTAAGGCAATCAAGTAAATACAGAGTCATAAGGCAAAGGATCATTATGCATACACACAATTCAGGAATAGACATTTTAAAATATATGTGCACCCTAATAGCACTGAAATAGTTGCATAAACCCATCCACCATCCCTTGCAAAATACAACGTGTTCTGTTCTAAAAGATGCAGGGTACCTTTAAAAGAAGTACAGCCTTCCTTTGAAGGGAAGTATGTTGCTATAATGTTTAGCATGAGTTTAACGCATGGCATTCCTGCTCTAGAATGCAATGTTGCATGTAACAATGAACGGCCCCCTGCTTGCAAAGAAGCAGTGTTCGTTCATTTGCAGTTTTCCTTTGAGATAATACAATGGTTTTTCAACCCTACACAAAATGGAGGAATCTCTAAAGGGTGCAGCATTCCTTGTCAAAAAGTGTAATGATCTTTCAAATGGTATAGTATCCCTGTGAAAAATAAAACAATATGTTTGTACCATATGTAGCATGTTTTTCAATTTGCAGCCACCTTTTTTAATATGCAGAATTCAATACAAAAAGAGCAATATCCAATGCACCAACGCAATATTCCCTGAACAAGTCCTGTAAAGATGACTATTCTGTTTATAAATGGCAAGTATCCTGTACGACAGTATGATATTCTCTTCAAGAAACCACGTTCTTGCAAACATATATATGATAATTTTCTTGACACATGTAGCATTCCTGTCCAAAAGGTTCAGTTTTCCTTGTTTGCTGTTGTTTTGACACACCCGTTCTTTCTCTAAAGGAACTAGTTCATTTATTTAATATTGAAAAACAATGCGTTGGAACATGTTTGAACCATGTTGCAGAGGGTACAGAATTTCCCAAAATCATGACCACTTGTTCGCAATAGGAGTTCCTAGTGTCTGAGTATAGCCGCACACATAATATATTCAAATTCTTGGCTCACCACGAAGCATATCAACATTTTGGGTGAGCTGTTTTGGGTTAAGTCGGGACAGCAAAAAAAACAGATACCTACTTTCCAGAAAGAAAACGAAAAAATACACCGCTTTAGGAGACCTACTTTGAATTTGGGGGGAAACCAAACCCCCGGAGACCTGTGGATGGGGGGGAAGTGTTTTAGGAGACCTACTTTGGGTTTGCCCCTCAAAAAAGACATGTTTTTTTGTGTCCCCCATTCCTAAATAGTTTCTTTTGTTGTGTGTAGCAGGTGGCAGGTGGCTGACATTGCAACGAAACATTCAATGAAATAGACTATGGGGTGAGCTATAAGTTGTATTTATAGTATAAATTATAAATTCTAAGAACCACAAATTCATATATTTCAGTTATCTTTCCTTTTCATTCACAACAAATGCCGCCCAGCAGCAGGGGCAGGAGGAGCGAGGTTGGCATCACCCACCACTGTCTTACCTGAAAAACCCCCTCTGGTGGTCCAACATGGCAATGGAAAACCCCTCTTTTCAGATGTTTTGCGAATAAAAAATATAAAAACCATCCATTTACGATGTCTGGGCTGTTCCTTAAACTAGCAGCGTGGCAACACTGAAGGGTTTTTACGGTAGGAGTGAAGACCTGGCCTTCATTCTTTACAGCGTCAAAAGTTCCTTCAGCTTCAGTTTTTGACGGAAGTCTCGTGCGAAACATTGGTCTTGCAATCGCTCGCGCAACCCTCTCGTCACTTCGGGCGTGCCGGATCCGTCTCGTTGTGGCGCGGTGCGAATTTTGAGAACCCTCTCGGCACTCTGGGCCTGTCAGGGCGCTCTCGTTGCGGCATTTCGCAAATTTTGAGATCGCACGCGCAACATTCTAGTCACTTGTTGTAGCGCGGTGCTCATTTTCATAATCAAGGAGATCTTGTGCAGAGATCGTTCCAAGAGTCCTGTTGTATAAAGATCTCTGACAAAGATCTTGCATAGAGATCTCTGATAGAGAGAGACCGTGTACCCACATCTTGCCCAGAGGTCTTCTGCTGCATCCTGAGACAGAGATCTGCCAGAGAGTTCTTGCTCAGAGATCTGATCCTCTTTCCCAGAGACCTCTTATAGGGACCTTGTACACAGATCTTGCCAAGAGACCTTTTGTAGGGATCTTGTACAGGGATCTTGCCCGGACACCTCTTAGGGAGATCTTTCACAGGAACATTGCATACCTGGTGAGATCTTGCCAAGGGGTCTCTTATAGAGATCTTGCGAAGAGAGCTCTTATAGACAGTTCTACAGAGATCTCATGAAGGTACCTTGCCAAGAGGCCTCCTATAGAGATCTGTGCAGAGATCTTGCTAAGAAGTCCCTAACAGAGATCTTGCCAACAGAGCTCTTATAGAGATCTTGTACAGAGATCTTGCCAGGAGACCTCTTACAGAGATCTTGGACTGAGACCTAGGGAAGAGAACAGAGATCTTGCTCAGAAATCCTTTTTAGAGAGCTTGAACAGAGATAGTACTTTGAGATCCCTTACAGAGATATTCTGTAGACACCTTGTACAGATAGCCTTACAAAGGGGTCTTGCACAGCAGCTTCCACAAAGAACCTGTCAAGCCGATCTTGCGCCCGATCTTCTACACAAATCTTCACAAAGGGAACTTACAGAATCTAAGCTGGCATCTCTTCTTCCAGAGACCACCTTGAATGAACAGCATGCTTTCACTACTAGGGTCCCTCTCGTTCTGCTAGCTTGTAGCCACTTATGATTCTGGGTCCTTTCAACCTTTCCCTTTAGAAACCTAACTGCACACTGTGTGGGGTCTCTTGCCGGGATAGTCAGTTGTCTTTTCAAACAGATTTTCCATAGCCAAACCTTGAGAGGGAAACTCAAACGCCAACCATTCCCCAAGGCCCCAAGGTCCCTTTGGGTCAGAGCCCAAGATACACCATCGACGGTAGCTCCTGTAACCACCTTGAAGAGTATTCACCTCTGGATCTCATGGGATGCCCCGATTTCTAGAGACCCAACGCCATGACTCTCCGCCATGACGATTTCGAGGGCATATGACTCTAGAGGGCATAAAAGACCTCGTGTTTTTTGGGATGAGTATCATCCAACAGTCAAACGGACTGAAGAAAAATATTCTTTAAAATCTGAAAAAGACTTCATGATGTGAGTGGCGAAGCAAATTACTTCTCGGTCATCCATGATTGCTCGAGCTTTGGACCACCTGCAGCAAGGGACCTCCAAATTTATCGCAAACATCACCGTGGCCAGGGAAAAAAAACACCAACTGTCTCCGATGTTTGGAATCCCAAAACTTGGAATCTGATTGGCATTCCAACTCCTTGTGCTCCATTGTGTCTGAATCCCCTTTTTTTTCGACATTGGGTTTGTCTGAACCTTGGTGTACCAACAAATGTGATGGATCAATGGTATTTCCCATTCAATTCCCATTCGGATTTTCATGGCTATACAACAAAACACATGTACCCCCTGGTAAACTATCGTAACTATGGAACCTGAGAAGGGGGGAACGAAAGCCAGCATCCCATCTACCCCTATTTTCCACCAAACTTTTCACCCAGAGACTCTTCAATACATTTCACCCATATACTTTTCACCCAGAGATTTTTCACCCAGAAACTCTTCTTGCACAGACTTTTCACCCATATACTTTTCACAAAGAGACTCTTCACCCAATTTTTTTTCTTGCACATACATTTCACCCATATACTTTTCACCCAGAGATTCTTCACCCAGAAACTCTTCTTGCACAGACTTTTCACCCAGAGACTCTTCACCCAGAAACTCTTCTTGCACATACTTTTCACCCATATATACTTTTTACCAAGAGACTTCACCCAGAAACTCTTCTTGCACATACTTTTCACCCAGATACTTTTCACCCAGAGACTCTTGACCCAGAAACTCTTCTTGCACATACATGTCACCCATATACTTTTCACCCAGAGATTCTTCACCCAGAAATTCTTCTTGCACAGACTTTTCACCCAGAGACTCTTCACCCAGAAACTCTTCGTGCACATACTTTTCACCCATATACTTTTTACCCATATACTTTTCACACAGAGCCTCTTCACCTAGAAACTCTTCTTGCACATACTTTTCACCCATATACTTTTCACCCAGAGACTCTGCTTGCACATACTTTTCACCCATATACTTTTCACCCAGAGACTCTTCACCCAGAAACTCTTCTTGCACATACTTTTCACCAATATACTTTTCACCCAGAGACTCTTCACCTAGAAACTTTTCTTGCACATATTTTTCACCCATATACTGTCACCCAGAAACTCTTCTTGCACATATTTTTCACCCATATATTTTTCACCCAGAGACTCTTCACCCAGAAACCCTTCTTGCACATACATTTCACCCATATACTTTTCACCCAGAGATTCTTCACCCAGAAACTCTTCTTGCACAGACTTTTCACCCAAAGACTCTTCACCCAAAAACTCTTCTTGCACATACTTTTCACCCATATACTTTTTACCCAGAGACTCTTCTTGCACATACTTTTCACCCATATACTTTTCACCCGGAGACTCTTCACCCAGAAACTCTTCTTGCACATACTTTTCACCAATATACTTTTCACCCAGAGACTCTTCACCTAGAAACTTTTCTTGCACATATTTTTCCCCCATATCCTTTCACCCAGAGACTCTTCTTGCACAGACTTTTCACCCAGATACTTTTCACCCAGAGACTCTTCACCCAGAAACTCTTCTTGCACATACATGTCACCCATATACTTTTCACCCAGAGATTCTTCACCCAGAAACTCTCCTTGCACAGACTTTTCACCCAGAGACTCTTCTTGCACATACTTTTCGCCCATATACTTTTTACCCAGAACTCTTCTCCCAGAAACTCTTCTTGCACATATTTTTCACCCATATACTTTTCACCCAGAGACTTTTCACCCAGAAACTCTTCTTGCACATACTTTTCACCCATATACTTTTCACCCAGAGACTCTTCACCCAGAAACTCTTCTTGCACATACTTTTCACCCATATACTTTTTACTCTTCTTGCACATACGTTTCACCCATTTACTTTTCACCCAGAGACTCTTCACCCAGAAACTCTTCTTGCACATACTTTTCACCAATATACTTTTCACCCAGAGACTCTTCACCCAGAAACTCTTCTTGCACATACATGTCACCCATATACTTTTCACCCAGAGACTCTCTTGCACATACTTTTCACCCATATACTTTTCACCCAGAGACTCTTCACCCAGAAACTCTTCTTGCACATACTTTTCACCAATATACTGTTCACATCTTTTCACCCAGAGACTCTTCACCCAGAAACTCTTCTTGCACAGACTTTTCACCCAGAGACTCTTCACCCAGAAACTCTTCTTGCACAAACTTTTCACCCATATACTTTTCACCTAGAGACTCTTCACCCAGAAACTTTTCTTGCACATATATGGTCCCACATCGGAGCCTCAATTTTACTTTTCACCCATATACTTTTTACCCATATACTTTTCACCCAGAGACTCTTCACCTAGAAACTCTTCTTGCACATACTTTTCACCCATATACTTTTCACCCAGAGACTCTTCACCCAGAAACTCTTCTTGCACATACTTTTCACCCATATACTTTTCACCCAGAGACTCTTCACCCAGAAACTCTTCTTGCACATACTTTTTCACCAATATACTTTTCACCCAGAGACTCTTCACCTAGAAACTTTTCTTGCACATATTTTTCACCCATATACTTTCACCCAGACACTCTTCTTGCACCTACTTTTCACCCATATACTTTTCACCCAGAGACTCTTCACCCAGAAACTCTTCTTGCACATACAGACATTTCACCATATACTTTTCACCCAAAGACTCTTCTTGCACATACTTTTCACCCATATACTTTTCACCCAGAGACTCTTCACCCAGAAACTCTTCTTGCACATACTTTTCACCCATATTCTTTTCACCCAGAAACTCTTCACCCAGAAACTCTTCTTGCACATACTTTTCAC